TCACAACATATATCATTTCAAAGAACCAACGATGTACAATACCATTCTCGAGCCAAATTTATCAACAAGTCAAATCATAACAATAACAATGATATCCAACATAACAATCCCACATGACGATTAACATTTCCACTTCGTCCATCACACAAATCATCACGTTTCCCACATACATTCGCGTTTTATAGCATGTAACATATTTAAGAATTAACAAAGTACATATTATTCTTTAGAAATATTAATCAACTAAAATGCTCATGATAACTCCACTCATATCCAATGTCATTACATAATCACAACAATCAATAACACATACCACAAGTCGAAGCGCAAGGCTAGAGCAACACAATTCAGTTGAAGACTACATCTTTGGAAAAGGGGATTTTGGACCACCCAACGGATCAAGGCTCCAAAGGGGATTCCGGACCATCGCTCAACGGAATCCAAATAGAACTCAGTTCCAATCCACCCAACCGAATTTAAACGGAAGTCCAAGAAACATAACAACGGCTCGAAGGAACAAGACATGATTCAAGTTACCCAATTCACGAAACTCAACGAAACGAAGCAATATTGAGCAAAAACCACATCATAATGGGTCATCGGTCATTTACTAGACCTCACATCTCCCAAGCAAATCAATATGCGTTTCAATCACATGTCACAACCATTTTCAATACACAAGTCAAATCACATTTCACTTCATCATGCTAATCACTATATTTCCAACATTATATTTCAATATATAGTTTATAACATATCAAGGAATCACAAAGTACAATATTAACATTTAATTACATTAATCAATCAGTGAAATGACCTATCATTTCACGAATTTAATTAAAGAACTCTACATAATTCCCAATTTGGGTTAAGAATAATAACATTGTAATTCTAATTTATTTTCACAATATCTATTGTGGGTAATTCTCATCTACTTGAATTTAGGATTCTAAGATCACCTTACGGAATGAACAAGGGCAAGGATTCTGGACCACTCAACAGAATCCAACAACATTGAGTTCCGGACCACTCAACGGAACCAAAATATCAAGCGGTTTCTCATAATCTACCCAGACCTGTCATATGTAAAGTCAATGCCAATATTATGGAATTGGTGCACTAGCAATTCAGGCACTCAGATAAGCTGAGAGGCTCGGGTGAGGGACAATAAAATAAGCATGTGATACAATAATAAACCCAGCCATCAATCATAATTTATAAACCTTGAATATAAATCTTTCATAGGAAATCAATACCAAACTTTTGAAAACTCCGAGGGAGGCACCCAGACATCCAAAAGTTCATTTCAAACGACCATAACATCTCACACCCATATTCACATACACACAATGAAAGTAGAATTAGGCGACACTGTTCATCCAAAGCCTACACTTTGCAACCATCTCAAACTAAACTCCATGAACTAAGGTGAATACAATCCCGAACCATCACTCAACGGGATCGCGGAGTAAGAGGGATTCCGGACCATCACTCAACGGAACCCAAACCAAGATACGATTCTGAATCGTCACTCAACGGAATCGCGGAATGAAGTAGGAAGGATTCCGGACCATCACTCAACGGAATCCAAACCAGGATACGATTCCGGACCATCACTCAACGGAATCGCGGAGTAGAATGTGTAACACCACTCGATAAAACAAGACATGGATCAAGTTACTCAAGATACAAAGACTCAACGAAACGAGAATGAATAATGACACGAGGGTTGAAACATGTTTCGAAGCAACGAACCCCATAACAATGGATTAATGGTCCACTACTAGCTCTCGCATTTCATCACATCAATCCAATCATGCAATACAAACCATAATTCCAATCCACAAGTCAAATCATACTTACTGAAATTAGATCATTGGCCAGAAATAAAATAACACTTCAATAGAATTCACATTTAATTAACATGGGTCTATGGCGTATGTATACATAATTCACATTTCAATATGCAATTCGAATCACTTTCCCACAAATATTACCCATCCATAATCAAACCACATTTAATAAAAATAGATCGATGGCCAATTATAAAAGAATCACATTTTAATAGCTTAGTTTGGTTAGTTATGTGTGCTACTTGTATTTATACTCTTGATTGTACTTTTGTGTTCCGATTAGGCTCTTCAAAGGAACAAAATTAATATTATCTAAAGAAAGTACACTGATTATGGAATCTACCACTCAAATAATATCACTCAATTAGTAGTAAAGAAGATTAGAAAGGAATCTGGAAAAGAAAATAGGTGTGGCGAAAAAAGTACTCTACTTCTCCACAAAATCTGCAGAAAACAGCACTATTAGACCAAGTTTAGGCTCCCTTTGGAACATTCCAAACTAAACCAAATCATGTGATATTATATGGGTTTTGAAGCTTGTGTTCTGTACTTTAAAAACATACAAAGTTTGTAGAAAACGGAGCTCTAAATTGGAAGTTATGCCAAAAGGAAAAACGGAGTCTTGAAACTGGAAACTCAATTTTCTGCTGCTGTTTGGCAGCCCGTGACCCAAACTTAAAGAAGGTTTTGATCAACCAAAACTCAACGAAATTGAGTGAAAACAATTGGGTTACGATCATGAGCATATGTACTTTCAACACACTAAAAATTTTCTCCAAAGGAGCATATAAAGGCCTAGAAATTAAGAGCCAAAGAAGGCTACTCGAAACTTGAGTTTTCTTTGCAAAGAAGTCAATTTTCTGCAACTTACGTAACAACCCACTTCCAATTCATATAACAAATCCCAAAATAGTTCCAGGTAGTCCAGAAGTCATGTACACAACATCCAAAACTAACATGACTCAAAATTAACAAGAAATTGACCTTTTGAACCAAACCCTTGATCAAGAAATTTGATCTACACACCCAACAATTGAATCTTTGGAAACCAAGCTAGACATAGGTTCACATGGTCACTAAAAGGTATTTAAAACCTAGACAACACTCGTGAACGATCCCACGCACCGCCACACGCGGTGGAAGTCAAGATGGAGGGTTTACAAACCCCGAATTTCAACATTAACTAGAGGAGCTCAAATTTATGTGGTAGCTAGAGCTCAACAAGGGAAACACTTTTCACAACTAGGCCGACGATAAATTCTAACCGGAAACTGTCCAATTTCACCGGAGAAAATCGGATTTCTAGGTATTCTAAACATCCAACTCTAAAACGAATACGAAAGCACAAACTAAGCATACCCACTTGAAGATTACGAAGAGCAGATGAAGTTTCATACCTCACTCGAAGGAAATCGTTGCTGGAATCGCCGGAAAAATGATAAAACCGCCGAAAAAGTCGTGAACTTTGAGACCTCGAACTGCAAAGATGGAAAAGAAAATGGAAAATCTAACATCATAGAGATGTAGGGCTCGTCAAGATTTTTCCATGGACACCAAGATCATCCAAAACAGACCTCGGATGAAAAAGATACAAGCGGGTCAAGTTTTGTGGGTTTATGGGTCAATTTCCTCCTAAAAACGGGTTAGGCAGCTTTTCCCCCCCATTTTTCCGAAAAATTCTCCCCTTTTTCCTGGAGGTTTCCCTCCCATTTAAATTATAGCAATTTGGTAATATTGCCAAAATGCCACCAACTTTAAACGACTCTAACTTCTCCGTTCAGACTCGGAAATAAGATCTGTTTACACCTACGCGCTCATGAAATCAAACTCTACCTAACCAATTTAAGAGTTGACCGAACAGGTTGAGAAAATTGGAAATGACTAAAGTACCCCTCACATCGTTTTCTTAAATTTGGAGAAATAAAGAACTAATTCCAATCAAATCTTCGAAATACGTCAATAATAAAATAAAATAATAATTTTGGGGACGGGATATCACATATATGGCTGGTCGACACTACTTATATAAAAAATGAAAATCAAAACTAGTGCTGCAATCTTAGTCTTACAACAAAACGCTTTTAAAAACAACATACGAGGAGGACACATCTAATTAGTGGCTTGTTTAACCTTGTTTATAAAAAGAAAAACTTTGAGTAACTTTCCACCTTGGTCATGTGTTAGAGTAAATATAGAAATATAGAGAATAATCTGAATAATGATTTTGAGGTACAACTTGAATCGTTTCCTTAAAGTGTTATTTGCCCCTCCTCGAATGAGTTTGCTAAAGTGTTCTTGGCAAGTCACTTTCAGAATATAACAAAGTATGAAATATTCGATTAACAAAACCGAATTGCATTCGCTTATAAATAAGTAGAAAGAAATTGTATGAATGTGATGGAGAGAAGAGAGAGCAAGGAATGTAAAAATAAATTTCTGAAATTGTGTGTGAAACATTATGCCACAATAGGTATTTATAGGCATTAAAGCACCCGTTCATCGAGTCTTTTTATTTTAGTTAAAGATATACAACCCTTCTTAATAATGTTGACCCAAAAGACATATCTTCTATTTAAAATTTTCAGAAAATAAATTTTGATTATTTATATATTTTAATTCTACTCATACAATTTGAATAAGCATCATATTTTTTAACTAAAAATTGTAACCATTCAACTATTTACATTTGATGCGCACTGCAGCACCTTTTATCATCCGCACAGACGCTGCACAATGCAGCACCAAGTCAATATAATATATATATATATATATATATATATATATAAAATAATAAATATTTATTATTGAAATCTCTAGTAGTTTCAACAAGTTCGCACTCAGTTGCATCAAATTCTAAAATTCTAGAAGATACATATTTTATTTTATTTTATTTTGTGAGTTTGATTTATTTGATCGGTAGTACTCAATTTTTCACAGGTTTGACCAGTTGTGCTTTTTACAGACTCGGACAAACCCCACGCCCCCCTAAATTTTCTCGCTCCTTCGTCCGGTCCGCTTCCCCTCCCGTCCCATTCTCCGACGCCCTTTCGTCCCTTCTCTTTTCTCTTTCACTCCCTAAATTCCTCCCTGAGGCCCTCCTCGTTTTTCAACCCGCCGTCGGTCTCTCCGCAACCAGCCTCCCAACAGTCCATGGCTTGGAGCTCAGTTTCTTCTTTGCTCGGAGTCAAAGATCAGAACTGGAGGTCTTAGGGTTTCGGCAGATCTGCGCCGCGTAGTGTAGAGAAAGAGAGAGCTGAGCAGTGGTGGTTGTGGTGGTGGTGACGTGGCCGTTGATGGTATTGCACGGAGGCGCGAGAGACAGTTGGAAGGTAGATGATGAACGGAGCTCCGGCGGGGGATCGGAGAGGGTGGTGGCGTTACGGTAATTTCTGTCACATGGAATGGCAGATCTTGTTAGCTACGGGAATGCCAACCGTGACATCGACCAGGTCGGTCTCTTTCTCTCTAAATTCTCTTTGCCTCTTTTTTGTTTTTGCAAATGTATCAAAAAATACAAAGAAAATGAAATAAATTCCTAATTATTTGTCTGTTTAATTACTTAGAAAAGCAGAAGATTTGTTTTTTTCCTCCTCGAAAAAGTGGAAATTGGATGGAGAGCTCTTTATTTTTTGCTTGATACTTTTAAGTTTTGTAGGTATGTGAGGGAATTTGGATTTGGTAATTGAAAACAACTCTCTAGATATAATTACTGGGAACATAATCTTCAGGCATGTTAAAAATGTGAGGGAATTTTGATTTGGTAATTGACATACAACGTTTTAGATATAATTAGTGGGAACATATTCTTCTCAAGGTTTTGGTTTTGAGGATCACTTCTGGGTTCATCGTTTTTGGCTCAATGGATGCAGTATGGGTGCTTTTACAGAACCAAACAGGGCCAAAGTTTCGAACCTTTTTTAATTTTGTATTTTTCCCAAGTGCATTTTCCATTTCGGCAACTGGGTTTGCTCCGAGGCATATGTAAAGTACTGACATCTTTGAACGATAAATGTCCAGTGATTATTGCGACAGAGTGATCTAATGGAAATGGCATTGCATGGAAACCACATTTTACTTTCTTCGCAGGGTGTAAAACCTGCTGCTCTAGTTGGAACAGTTTTTATAGTAACTTTAGAAGACGCGTAGGGTTTCTTAATATCTTAAAAGTTTGGATTTAGCGATTTATTCTCTAAGTCGCAGGATAACAGTTATGAATTATGATATGTTTTGGAAGGTTGTAACTTGTAACTGAATGAGAACTAAGTTGGTGTGCTTCTTGAATTGGAAGTCAAAAAGTCATTACTATATGCGGTATGGAGTTCAGGGTAACGTTATAATTAGAATAGCATTTGATATGGTCCTATGTTTAGTTCATACAGCGTTTATCCGCCCTTCATATCTTTCTCATGGTTTTGAATGATTAAATGATTTTCAGGCAATAATTGCTTTGAAGGAGGGTGCTCAACTACTGAAATATGGTCGTAAGGGAAAGCCTAAGTTTTGTCCATTTAGACTTTCTACTGTAAGTTTGTATCTAAAGCTTCTCTATTAGGATTTATTTTTTATTTTTAAAATATTGGTGGTTTGTCCACTCCATGGAAGGGAAAGAACATGGTGTGCTCAATTATTAAGGTTGAAATAAAAAATTTATTCCACAATTCCTGCATGAACAGATAGTAAAATTTGTAAAAGGATGAAGTCAAGAATGCTACGAAACATGTTTAATTGAATTTCCTGCTTAGCAGTGGTAATGTAGTGCCAATTAGGTAATTTCAATCTTCTCCCACAAGCATACAATTTCCATTTGTGCTTATAACGGAAAAGATAAAATTTCTCAAGTTTCCCTTCTGCTAATTAAATTAATAACTGAAGGGGAAATCTGAGTTAATTTAGGTTCCGATCCATATGGCAGATTGGAACCAAAGGGTACAGTAGGCAGTTTGCCAGATTCTATGGCATATTTAATTTGGATGAGAGATTTGAGAACTTATTCGTAGTGTAGTTTGAGGTCAGTCAAGGCAAAATATGGTCTATAGTTATTGGAGAAACATATCATTAATAGCTACGAAGGTTTGATAGACTATACATTTCACCTTGTAAGGTATTGGAATATGTTAAATGTCAGTTGACATTAGTTGTGCTGCTACGTTGCTGCATAACCATGCTACTTTGTGTTTTGATGTATGCATTGTAAAATACTGCTAATGGGATAGCATTTCACTGGCCTTCTGTGGTAGATAGCATTTCAATGCCCTTCTATGGTTCTTGCTTGTGATTATATTTATTGTATTTTAATTCACAAATTTTGTCTGCTTAAATTCTTTCTATTTTCTACTTACTGCTGCATTTAATAATTTCAGGACGAATCAACTTTGATCTGGATTTCAAGTAGCGAAAGAAGTTTGAATGGCTTCTGTCACAAGAATTGTTCCTGGACAAAGAACTGTGAGCAATTTGATATAAATTTTAGTACATGATTGGCATAGATTTACTGCAGTTTAAATTTAAGTCTTCTAGCGATGCTTATTCTAATTTCATCTTGCTCCAAAATTTGTTACAGGCTGTCTTTCAACGATTTTTACGTCCTGAAAAGGACTATTTATCATTTTCTCTTCCATACAATAACGGAACGCGGTCTCTTGATCTGGTTAGTGGTGGAAGCTCAAAATTATTTGTCTTTACATTGTTTCCTATTTTTATTTATAATAACAATATTTATGATAGTCTGTCATTTGCGTCCAGATTTGCAAGGACAAAGTTGAGGCGCAAGTGTGGATTGCAGGCCTTAAATCACTAATTTCCTCTGGCAGAGGTGGGCGTTCGAAAATTGACGGATGGAGTGATGGAGGCCTCTACCTTGATGTAAATATGCCTACTTAGAAACCTCTTTTGTGGTTAAATTTTATGTTTTCTCTTGTCTTGCAGTGATCTGTGTTATATAGGCATCAACATGCTGTATTGGAGCTTTTGAGCTAAATTTGAAATGCTGAAATACTATGATAAGATTCTTTTATTATTTTTATTTAAATTTTAGTATTTGATTCTTAAAGAAATTAAACTTCTCCTTGCATAGACATAGTGTTTTTGCATATTTAATATATATTTTTCTTTCCCTTTGTAATTTTTGGATTGGCTTTTTTTTGTAGACATTTTTTTATCTTATTTTTTATTACTTTATATGTTTATTATATATATATATGTGTGTGTGTGTGTGTGTGTGTGTGTGTGTGTGTGTGTGTGTATGTATTCTAAATGAGTCATCCAACCTTATAGTTCAGTTCATATGATTTTATTGTAGTCATCCAACCTTTATATGGTGAAATCACACACGCACATAGACTTTGGATGTATGAAAGTTTCTCTTACATTTCGATATGTATAAGTACACCTGTTGAATGACTGCCTGCTTATCATGTTTTCGGGTACTTCAGGATGGCAAGCACTTGACATCAAATTGTCCTAGTGATAGTTCTGCTAGTGGTGCACGAGATAGTGGCTCTCCAGATTTGAATTCAAACTGAAAGTATTTTCATAATCTTTTCAATGACAAACACGAAAGGAGTACTTATTTGGGTAATTTGAGTAACTTGGAAGAGTGAAGAAATTACTCCTTCTACCGCCAAATCAATAAAGAAGAAGCTTGTAGCTTTGAAAAAAGATAAAGCATAGAAAAGTAGTGGGTCCCAACAGTGAACAGATTGAAGTGTGAAAATTCTTGAAAGAGACATGTATAACGTGATTGGAAGCCGTCCAGCAAGTAGTTGGAAACCGTCCAAAATAAATGGGGCCCCAAAAAAAGAATAATTATTTTTGCTCCTAAATATAACGCAGCCTGTTCACACTGACTTTTTTCAATCTGTTTCTGCAATTTCCTTGTCAATTAAGTATGTTGGTGTTCATTTTGTGGTTTTCTTGTTGGATTGATTCATATTGTCCCACTTGGCTTCCCTACAACTTTAGTTCTTTTTCTCTTCCAGTTCCATTATTCCCTTTCCCCAAAACCTCTCTTTTGGTCTGCACCTACTTTTGTGTGAGTATTTTCGTCGTGGTTTTTCGTTCACTTTTCATTTGCTTTGCAATGGCGATGAGCACCCAAAGAGCCTCTGCACCTCTTCTTTCTCTCAAATCAGCTCCTCGATGGAAGTACGATGTGTTTTTGAGTTTTAGGGGTGTAGACACCTGCAAGGGTTTTGTATCCCATTTATACCACGAATTGTGCAAGTTCCAAGGAATTAAAGTTAAAAAACCCTGAAATTTATTTTAAATTTCAATATTCTTAAAGGATTAAAGTTTAAAAACCCCGAAAAAAAATACCCATCTCTTCGTCGTCTATTCCTACTTTGGTGTGAGTGATTTTGGTGTGAAGTTATATTGGTTGAAATAAAATTTCTCATAAAATATTTTAGCATTGTGAATTTCCGATGATAATTTTTGGTTTACAAATGATGCTAGTAATTTTGCCTACTGTATTCAGTACTTTACAAGTAATCATCAACTCATATTCAAACTTTTCACTCACGAACATGTGCTCGTTACATGATTATTTATTTATTTTTGTTATATATAAGGGGATTGAAAGCTGTTCATTGATACTATTTAGTTTAAATTAATTCTCGCAAATACATCGAGAGTGAGCTTCCTTGAAATTTCGTAACTATTAAGTCAAGTCTTCTTTCACGTGTTTTTGGTTGTCAAGTTTTGTCCTTTCATTTTGGTGTTGGCCAAGTTCAGCTCTTTCTTGTGGATTACTCGTTTTTTTTAGTATTTGTTTTGGCTCTGTAAACAACTGTTTATTTATTTATAGAGATACTTTCGTTCTCGACTAATCAAATAATTTATCGTTTCTTTACTTTCTTGGTTTGATTATGCAATTTAAATATTATTTGATTGTCCAAATAATTAAAAGAGAGGATTGGCGAAAAGAGACATAATCTTATTTGGGAAAGCTAATAAAACCAGGCCGAGGGTTTTCTGTTCCAATTATGTGTCTCCTCTACGTCTTATTCTTAGTTTTTTGACACTATTCTTTCACATAATTTTGAATTTAACAATGATTTTTTTATGGATTGAAAAAAAAAAAAATTTACAAAGCTACGACATATATTTCATAAGGGTAATGCAATGGAGACTAAATTCGTATACTAAATTTACACACTAATTGATGTGTCACTAATATAAATAAGCATGTTTATCAACGTTAACTAATAAACCAATCATCAACTTCTATATTCTTTAGTTTCCAAAACTTTGTCTACAAATTTAGAGGTGTATATTTTAGAGATATTAATGGATTTATAAATCCATGAAGTTTACGGGAGTTTAATTTATTTGTATAGATTCCATGAAATTTTTTGATTCAACTATCTTAAAATCTCAAGGGAAGAGGTGAGATTTGTGATGCATAAATCGTAATATGAAAGCTCTCAAATTCCCTCAAATTCCTTAACGTTTTAAAATTCTTTAAAATAAATTCATAATCGAATACACCTAGAATGCTATAAACTTCTTTGAAATATTAATTGAATACAAATATTTTTAAGGATTTTAATATTATCTTAAAATTTTGATTGAATACACGTTGAATTTCAGAGAATCACTTAAAATCATGATTGAATACCCTTAGATTCATTAAAAACATTAAAACCCTCAAATTCTCAATTGACTACATGAGTGCGCTTAGCCTCACAATGGACTAATAATAATATGGATCAAATTCTTTTTTGGCCAGAATCAAACTTAAAACATTTTATTTAGATAGTATTAAATAATTAACATTTAAAAGTTAACCCTTGATAATACCTCAGCTTCAACCAATTTTTCTCAATTATTTCATTGGTCATTTTCACTTTAAATTAATTCCACAAGTAAAAAATCGCTGCAGTCTTACCAAGCAAGTGGTTAGAAACCGTCCAGGTAGTTGGAAAAATGGGGTAAGCCACCAATCCTGACTTTTTGGTACCGTCTCTTGTTTTGTTTTTAGTGGGAAAAAGAAAAATCCCATCAGAACCGACTGAATGAGAAGAGTAAGCCACCGATCCTGACTTTTTGGGGCAATTTCCATCTCTTGTTTTGTTTTTAGTGGAAATATAGTTTTCTTTTTCTTGCATAAATTGTTAGTTTTGGTACTACTACACTATACTACACTTGTTATTGTTGTTGTTATCTTACCTCTGTTAATTACTCCGTGTTACTTATTTTATCTATAGATAGAATGATGAGGTGAGGAAAAAAAATTTCACACAAGCGTAGAATTACAAACGAATATCTCCCATCAAAGAAAAGAATAAACAGGTTAGACTTTGTCAATACAAGTGTCTCTCGATACCTAAATTTGACCTAAAGGATGAATGAGAATTAAAGAGCTTAGGTTTTTTCTTTTTTCTTTTTCTTTTTTTTTTTTTTTTTTTTGTGGAGGAAATGTTCTTCCCTTTTTAGAATTTAGTTAATTATTTGGTGTTAATTAAAATTTAAAAGCTACTTGTTTTGAATCTAATCTAAAAATAACTACTAGCGTTGATTTGTTAATTAACATTTAAGAGTTAATAATCCTTGATGATATGCCTCAACCTCAACTAATTTCTCTTCATTATTTCATGGGTCATATTCACTTTAAATTAATCTAACTAATCAGAAATCGATGCAGTCTTACTAAGCAAGTGGTTGGAAAGCATCCAACAAGTACTTGGAAAATGTCCATCAAGTAGTTGGAAACCGCGTCCAGAATGCATGGAGGCCCCAGAAGGATTTGGATTTCATCGGAATCCAATTGTGAGAATACTAAGAATTCTCACATTCTAACCATTTATTATATATCACAAATTATTTTGACATTTTTATTTAAAATTAAACATAAATAGTACTTAATGAAAATTTGATCACACAATATCAATAAACAACTATAATATGAGAATCTCTAAAACTCCAAAAAAAATCCAAAAAAGATCCTCATCCTCTCTAGAAAATGAAAAATTATTTTTTGGTCCAATTTAGGAGCAGGAGTAGGAGTAGGTAGAGCGCTGCCTGTTCACACTTACTTTTCTCAATCTATTTGTGCAATTTACCTGTCAATAATGGATTTGGTCCTTCGGATCCCGTCCGGATCCAAATGGTTGAGATTTAAGGATTCTCATATCTTAACTGTTTATCATAAATCATACGGTCATAAATCATATAAATTTTATTATTTAAAATTATATACAAATAGTATTTGAAAAAAATTAATTGTACAATATACGATGAATGGTTAGAACATGAGGGTTTCTAGAATCCCTACCATTTGGATCTCAATGGGATCCTCATCCAATAAAGTCCGCTTCTTGGTCTCTTGCTTTCTTGTTGGATTGATTCGTAGTATCTCGCTTGGCTTCCCCACGACTTTCACTCTTTCTCTCTTCCGTTATTTCCTTCCCCCAAAACCTCTGTTTGTGTCTGCTCATACTTTTGTGTGAGTATTTTGATCGTGGTTTTTCGTTCACTTTTCATTTTCTTTGCAATGGCGATCAGCACCCAAAGAGCCTCTGCCCCACTTCTTTCTCTCGAATCAGCTCCTCGATGGAAGTACGATGTGTTTTTGAGTTTTAGGGGTGTAGACACCCGCAAGGGTTTCGTATCCCATTTATACCGCGAATTGTGCAAGTTCCAAGGAATTACGACTTTCCTTGACGATCGAGAGCTTGAAGAAGGAACAAGTATTCCACTTGAGCTCCCGAGTGCGATCAAAGAATCGCATGTTGCAATCGTTGTTCTTTCACCAAACTATGCTTCTTCCAAATGGTGCTTGAATGAACTTACAGCCATTCTTCAATGCATGGAAGCTAGGAACTCAGTTCTGCCGGTCTTTTACGAGACAGATCCATCTGACGTTGGAAATCAACGGGGATCTTTTGCCAAAGCCTTCGCAGAGCATGAAGAAAAGTTCATCACTACCGAAGATAAAAAGAAGGTTGTCCAATGGAAAGCTGATCTAAAAAGATTGTCCAAAATTTCTGGTTGGCATTCAAAGCAATCCAAGTAAGCATGCATGAACAACTTTAAATTCCCATGTCCTAACAGAGTCAAACTTGAATGCTTCGTTTATGTATTTTTTATTGGTTATTTTATACCTTGTAGGTGTGAAAGTGAGCTTATTGAAAAAATCGTCAACAGCGTGTGGAGGAAAGTGCAAGCTGCGTTCACCGTGTCAGATTCCTCACAGAAATTAGTCGGAATTAATTCTGGGCTTGAGCAACTAGGTTCGCTATTAGCTCATGATGCCAATGATGTTCGCTTTATAGGGATAACGGGGATGGGCGGCATCGGTAAGACAACCCTTGCCAAGCTAGTTTATGATAGAATCTTCCATCATTTTGAAGTTTACTGCTTTCTCGCAAATATCAGAGATCGTAGTCCAGTTAGTCTTCAACAACAACTTCTTTTCCCAGTCTTGAAAGAAAAGATTGAGCAAGTTCGGGATCAACAGTTGGGAATCATATACACAGAGAAGTGCTTAAGCAACAAAAAGGTTCTTCTTGTACTTGATGATGTGGATCAAATAAACCAGCTACAAGTACTAGCTGGAAAAGAAGCTTGGTTTGGTAGTGGGAGTAGAATTATCATTACAACTAGAAATGAACGTTTGCTAGTCCAGCATGGCATAACTTTATGTCATAGCGTCAAGTTGTTAAATGATTATGAAGCTCTTGCTCTGTTTAGTCAACATGCCTTTAAGAAAGATCTGCCCGAAGATGGGTTTTTGGAATTGTCTAAGTATTTCGTTAATCATGCAGGAGGCCTTCCACTAGCTCTTGAACATTTGGGGTCGGCTTTGTTTAAGAGAGGTCTAGATGCATGGAATAGTGCACGGGATAATCTAAAGAAAATTCCTAATCCAACAATTTTTGATAAACTCAAAATAAGTTATGATGGACTAGAAGAGATGGAGAAGAGAATTTTTCTCGATGTTGCATGTTTTCACAAAGGGAAGCACACGCATCGAGTAATTGAAATGCTAGACAATTCCTTTGATATTTCAAGCCGGATCTTGATAGATGCTCTAATTGAGAAATCTCTTATGACCTCTGAAAAATGCTTCCTGTATGATACTTCAGTCAAGTACAGCAGGATAGGGATGCATGATTTGATACAAGATATGGCATGGAGAATTGTTGGTAACGAGTCTAAAGAGCCTGGCCTGCGGAGTAGGTTGTGGCTTCCCAATGACATTTCTCATGTATTCATGACCAATACGGTAAGAAGTTATGTAAGATTACCAAGTTTGATAGAAGATATTATTTTTTTGGCACGATACTAAATGTGAAATTGACATTTCCTACATTCTTGGTTATTAGGGGACGAGCTATTGAAGCCATAAGCCTACGGTTACCCGAAATAGAGGAGGTGCACTGGAATTGCGAAGCCTTCTCTAACATGTCTGGACTGAGGTTTCTGGAATTTGACAATTTGATCGTTTCTTCAAGTCCCAAATTTCTTCCATGTTCTTTGAGAATTATGAATTGGAGTTTGTATCCTTCCAAGTCTCTTCCACCAAGCTTTCACCCGCGTTTCCTTACTGAACTAAAAATGCATGATAGCAAACTTGTTCGGCTTTGGGATGGAAAAGAGGTAAGAATATACCCAATGAATGCTATTTAACAATTTTTTTATGTCCAATAAAATTGTAAGGTTTTGGAATTGGAAGCTTATATACATTATTTGTTGTATTATGCAGAATTTCCCCAACTTGAAATATATTGATCTTAGCAACTCACGTAAATTGATAAGTACCCCAGATTTTACTGGTCTTCGAAATCTTGAGAAGTTGTTTCTTCAGTATTGTACGAATTTGGTTGAGGTACACTCGTCTTTTGCAGTTCTTAAAAGACTTAAAGTTTTGAGCCTTGGTTTCTGTGAAAGTATTAAGAATCTTCCAAGTGAGCTAGAAATGGATTCCCTTGAAAATTTAGATTTTACTAGATGCTCCAAAGTGAAAAAGATTCCAGAATTTTCAAAACAGATGAAAAATTTGTCCGTGGTTTCATTAGGTGGGACTGCGATTGAGAAATTACCTTCAACAATTGGACATCTGGTTGGACTTACTGGTTTGTTTATTAATGAATGCAGAAATCTGTTGGATATTCCTATTGAGATTTGTAACTTGAAGTCTCTTGAAACGCTGTATGTCTGCGGAAGTTCGAAAATAGAAAAACTCCCAGGGAAAGTGGAGTTTTTAAAGGTACTTGAAATGGGGGGAAACGCAATAAGAGAGCCACTTGTTGATATGAAAAATCTCAAAACGTTGCGTGTTTCTGGATCAATGGGTAAGCCAAGGGACGAGTGGGGCCTTCTCCGCTTATTTGGAATTAGAAAGAGCCATAAGCCTTGTTGGGGTTTGGTGTTGTCTTCTTTAAATCGTTTGCATTGTTTGGAGGAAATACACCTATGCAATTGTGATCTTGGTGAAGGTGATATCCCCCATGATATTGGGGATAACTTGTCCTCTTTACGAATGTTAGATCTTAGTGGAAACAATTTTATTACCCTTCCAGCAAGCATCAAATGCCTTTCTCGACTTGAGTCTCTTTGGTTGAATGGGTGCCAAAGACTTGAGCAACTGCCAGATCTTCCGTCAAATAGCAAATTACACGTAATTGTAGATAATTGTACCTCCTTGAAAAGGTTGTCGGATCCCTCGAAGTTGAGCAGCAGATTTGCCAATATTTATGATTTTACTTTCAGTTCTCTGAATTGCATTACATTGGTTGAAGATGAAGACTGGATGAATACAATATGTTCAAGGATCGTGAAATTCGCCAGTAAGGTACTCTTGTCTCTCTGTCTCTCTCTGTCCTTCTCTCTCTCTCTCTCTCTCTCTCTCTCTCTCTCTCTCTCTCTCTCTCTCTCTCTCTGTTCTCTGAATTGCATTACATTGGTTCTTTTGGTGCAGGGAATCTGTCGTTCTTTGGGTCATAATTACATTGTATGCCCCGGAAAGGGGATTCCGGAGTGGTTCAACAATCAAACTGTGGGACATTCGCTAAATGTGGAGCTACCTCCTCAATCATGTAGCAGCTGGATGGGAATTGCTTTTTGCGTTGTTTTTGCTAAGAAAAACTATCCTTATTATAGTTTCGAAATTAAGTGTTTGCCTGGGATTTCATGTTGCATTTCTGCAACAGAGCATATGGTGTCAGAACACCTTTGGATATTGTATTTGTCTCGAGAACAATGTCAGGAACAGTTTTCATTTGAAACATGTTATATAGTTGGAGGAAATGAACCAAATATGGTGAAAATGTGTGGGGCTCGTTTGGTGTACAAGCAAGATTTGGAAGAGCTTAACCAAACATTGAAAATCTTGAAACGAACGCATGGATATTGTGAAGAGGCAGCTCCAAGTGAAAGTGGTAGTTTTGATGACAAAGAACAAGCTCACAAAAGGCAGAAGGAAGAATAAAAATTGTTTGCTGCTTTATTTAACCATTCAATGCATCAGAGTCGTACTTGGAAAGCTAAACATGGTGCCTTTTCTCAGAATCCATGCTAGTAAGTCCCCATCTCAAGCCCTGTATAACCTACCTGATATTTGATTATTTTTTTCCTCAAGTTAATTTATTTGATCCAGCAATGAAGTCTCTGTATATACAGTTATTAATGTGTCTCCCATCTATGTCAAATTGAAATAAAAAAGATCCAAAGTCATAGTAGGTAAATAAGTTTTCAGCAAAAAAGTGCAGAGTATGAAGATATGGAAGAAAAATATGTTATGATATTTTCACATTAGGAATTGAAGCAAAATTTATTATGCTATGAACAGATAAGTAGCTATAGAGATAATGTAAAAATGCTTGGACAGTGCCGATCATGATATGTGAAAAACAAATAAGGAAGCTCTCTGTACATCGTTCTTCAAATAAATGCAGGATATTCAATAACAATATTGTGCTAGTTGTGAATCTTTTCTTTATTGTGGCTACTGATAATTCTGAACTCAAACTGAAAGCAGATTCTTAATGGTGAGACTAAGACGCAACTATTAAGTGAATATTTATTTATGTGCAGGATGAGAAGTTTATCGTACCGGGTTAATTTCAGCTTGATTATTTTCAGAATGAAACTTCAGCTGCAGATGTTGCCTAGCGGAACTATTTTAAACATGGTTGGAACTTGGTAGGTGATTTTTTTGTGCTTAAATAGGTCCTGATATAGCCACAATTAATTAAGTCCAGAAAGAAGTAGAATATATCGAAAACTATATTTTTTTAACTTTCCAAAACACGTTTGTTCTTTGCCTTCAGGACCTCATGTTCTTTTTCAGTTGCCCTATCTTTCCATATAGTTTCTGAATTTTCTGCACATGCCTTAATGAACTATTTTAGAGCAGTTCTGGAGAGTTGCCAGTCTGTATTTTCTGTTGGCAGCTGTTTTGTTCATCACTTCTTTGGTCTTCATAGTGGGGGCAAGCATGATTAAGGAGGCAGTGGAGGATAAGCATAGATTTTTCAGGTAAAACATGTAAATACCGTAGAAGTTTTCTGGTTAATTAATTTCAATTTGTTTGCTCTTCTTCCATATGTTATCTTCAATTTGTATACTCCCCAGTTTAGAATCTCTTCTCCCCTCTTTGAAATTTCGTATGATCATAAACCGTGTTGACTTTCCTGTTCTTTCTTTATATTCATTGCATGAAGTTCATAAATATGAAACCCGATAATTCCTTTTGCGTTAATCGATGATGCGTATCTGGTGGCGATTTTTGTCCGTCCTCCCTCATTACACATAATCAGTAGCTTAGAGGAGTCTGAAGAGCTTCTGTCAAGTAAACCTACAAGCTAACGTTGTGTCCTGCATTGATTGTTGGTGCATCTATGCCTTACGGTATTTCTTTACTCTTAATGTCTACTCCTCTGCAGTGCAGCTTGTTGCATTTCGGAATGAAGCTTATGTACTAGCTAGGTCAGTTTCACCGCCCATTGACCGGGTCTTGTGCTTTGCCGCAATTCAATGATCGTGTTTGGACGTGGAAGATTGGCCATGGAATGAAGAACGCGGTTGAGCTTGAGATGTATAGTCGGAGATGCAAGTGGGCTATAAACACCAGATTTAACACTTGGAACACTGGCTTTCTCCTCGTCACCATTCGGCTGCAAGTTTGAACATTTATGTTCCTATTAAAACGCATTGTATTTGTAGCATGTATTTAAGTGTACAAAGTAGGTATTGATTACCAACTCTGATTAATTACTGGTTTCCAATAGAATGATTAATAGAAACATAGAGAGATTATTTTTTTAGCATAGATTCGGAGATGGTTACTTCAATTCTGAGAAGCATCACCATCAGCTTTCGAAATTCAAAAAAAGGTCCCAAAATTTTAAGAGTAACGGAAGGCCTCTAGCATAATTTATGAAGCACTTCGACAGTTCTAAATAATCTTCCTCACAACGAACTTTCCTAAAGGCATTACAACCGAAGAGCTCCACAGCTTCATCATCATTTAAGTCCTCAACCTTATGGCCCTGTTTGGCAGCCGGATGGAATGAGTTATTTTCAATTAAATTGGACATGTAATCCACCCCGCGTTTGATGAGCAAAATTGTACACGGACTGAATTGGTAACAAATCCGAAATAAGAAAAATAGGATGGGTTATGCAATCCATCCTCACGCATGGATTACGAAGTCTCGTCTCCGTCATCTTCTTTTTTGTCTATACGATGCTCAACTAGAAGACGTTCGTATCTTGTTGTAACGATGATTCTACTTCTCACGCCAAACCAATCTCTATTTCCAGCCAATAAATCTAGTTGGTGTATTCCACCTACATTATCAAGAATGAGAGAAGTTTTTTGTTACAATTTTTTGTCAAAGCAAATTAATGTCAGAAGTCAAACGGCTAAGTCAAAGAAAGTGAAGAGGTTTTATATATTGACTGGGATGGGAAGAAGGTAGTGGGTTGTAATTTAGGCTTAAACCCAATTACCATATTTTTATTCAGATTTTCTTGCTGGACTTGTAATCATTATGCATGGGCCTTCTTGTGTTTGTTGGGCTAAATGCCATAATTATGTAGTAGTTTTTTTTCTTAGTTAATTCAATTCGAACATTTCTTTGATTCAAAAAAAAAAAAAAATTCAAACATTTCTTTCAATATTCAGAAATAAATTAGAATTATTTTTGTTCTATTCTAGTGTCGTAAGTTTTCCATACTATTAAGGACACCAAAATAAAAAATAAAAAAATTACACTTTTTTGTTTCCTGAGCTTCAATGTTTGGGTTGGGAATGGAATTGTATGTTGGATTTTTTTTTTTTTTTTTTTGTGTTCTTAATAATAAAGAATGTTCTTAATTTTTTTTTTTTTATCAAAGAATGTTATTAATTTTTTGGGAGTAAAACTCTTTCGTCCTTCTACATGACGACATATGATTATCACTTAATGGGCCATAATTCTTAAATTTTAATATTTATATTATATTTATTCATAATATGTTAAAATATAAATAGAATGCGTGAATTTTGTTTGTATTATTAAAAATACTTGAAAATGATATGTTTTAAACATAAAAAGTGCGTTTTTATGTGTATAATAGTGTATCATACATTAGAATTTTAAAAAATGTGCAATTTAATAGATTATTAATATGCGTACGAAAAACAAAAATTTTTATTGAAAAATACATGCATATGATACGAATATTATACGCAAGTTTACACACATGCTAGAAACCAACGAGAATAAGGATATGATTCGATATTATCTACTATCCAAGGACCCAAATTTGGTGTTGGCATTTGTTAGTACTTCACGGGTTCTTCCGTGATTATACTCTTTGATGTCATCAAGTTTCAGCAAGCAAAGTACATCCTTGTGTCAAAAGGCTGCAACTGCCCTAAGAGCAACTCCAGCGTTGGAGCCCTCCCCCCTGGCAATTCACTATTCAATCCACCTAATGAACAGTAATTGCCCTTAATGAACAGTAAGTAGCCCTGGCAATAGATTTTGCATCTCCACCGTTACACTTCTATAACCCTGGCAATAGGCAATAAAATATTAGTTTTTTTTTTATTTATAAAATTAATACAAAATAATTTTAAATGTAATATCGGATAAGATTTTTAATCGTTGTCGGTGCGCCACGTGTCATTATCCTAAGTATTATTAAATAATACAAAATAAATAATTATAATATGGATTTCTGATAAGATTATTAACCAATCACGTCGCGCCACGTGTCATAATCGGTTCACAATCTTTGAGGATAGATTTCCATCAGATTTTAAACGAATGACAGCATGCCACGTGTCATAATCTGTTAACAATCTTGGATGATAGATTTCCATCAGATTTTTAACGAATGACGGCATGCCACGTGGTATTATGCAGAACCTAATCCTTTCTGAATCCTCTATATAATCCACCTTCCATCTTCACAAATCTCACACCAAAATTCTCAAGATCTCTATCATTATTCATAATTTCTGCTTCCTTATTCACAAAAATCAGTTTCAATATTCATAGTTTCTGTTTCTTTCTTTCAATGTCTTCTTCTTCTTCGTCAAGGATGATGTGGGAATTGAATCAGGAAGAGGAAGACTTGTTTAACCAATCAGAATCAATGTTCAATCAGCAGCGGGTAAGAAATGAGAGGGAAGAAGATGAGGAGCGTCAAATGAGAGATGACGACGTAAGAAGGGGCAGAGCCTCACATTCCCGTCGAGTCATCCAAGCTGCGGCTCAGATCTGCAGGCCCAGGCGTTCCGGAAACATTGATAGAAGCAGGCAACGACGAGGTATGGAACTCTTGGATGATTATTTTGTTCCTAATAGTGCATTCCCTGATACGTACTTTAGACGTCGTTTTAGAATGGAACGACATTTGTTCAACAAAATCATGATTGCTGTTTGCAACCATGATTCTTATTTTGTGCAAAAAAAAGATGCTTTTGGTGCTATGGGTCTACTGCCGGAGCAAAAAATTACTGCTGCCTTGCGGATGCTTGCATATGGAGCATCTGCAGACCAAGTGGATGAGATAACGAGGATGGGGCAATCAACCATTCTTGAGTCCCTGATGAGGTTTTGCGGAGCAATCGAATCTATCTATACCGCTGAGTACCTCCGCAAACCCACACACATGGACTTGGAGCGGCTGTTGAAGAAGGCGGAGATGCGTGGCTTTCCTGGGATGATTGGAAGCATTGATTGTATGCACTGGACGTGGAAAAACTGTCCAAGTGCATGGCAAGGTGCTTACGGGGACAGAAAAGGGGAAAAAAGTATCATTCTGGAGGCGGTGGCATCTTTTGATACATGGATTTGGCACGCCTTTTTCGGGGTCCCGGGAGCTCAAAATGACATCAACGTCCTTGCCCAATCCCCAGTGTTCAACGATGTCCTGCAAGGAAAGGCACCAAAAGTTACATATGAGGTCAACGGACGTATGTACGACGGGCCATACTACCTAGCTGACGGCATCTACCCGCGCTGGTCAACATTTGTCAAAACAGTGCCACGTCCGCGGAGTGCGAAGGAAAAACACTTTGCAAGCTGTCAAGAGGGGTGCAGGAAGGATGTGGAGCGTTGTTTTGGTATCCTCCAAGCTCGCTGGGCGATCGTCAGGGGTGCGGCCAGATTGTTTGATGTAGAGTCGCTTCGATCCATCATGATGACGTGCATCATTCTTCACAACATGATTGTGGAAGATGAGTACGATTATGAAGCTGTTGATGAATATGAGCCAGACCCGATGAACAATTCAAGAACACGTATATATTGTGCTCATGACGCCACCGATGACCCCGTGCAACATGAGCCATTACAAAGGGATGGACGTTACAATGAAAGGCTCATTCAACGATATACTGCATTTCAAATGCCAGACATGCACAATGCCCGACAAATTGACTTGATAGAGCACCAGTGGGCATTGAAACAAGCTGAGGATAATTAAGTTCATTTTAGTGTGTTTATGTTTATGTTATTTTATTTGGTATGTTTATGTTATTTTATTTGGTGTGTTTTATTATTTGGTATGTTTATGTAATTCTTAGTATATGTAATTCTTAGTATGTTTATGTAATTTTTTTATGTTTATGTTTATGTAATTCTTAGTATAAATAACTTACCAAATTAAATAACTTACCAAATTAATTCTTAATATAAATAACTTACCAAATTAAATACTTACCAATAATTCTTAATATAAATAACTTACCAAATTAATTCTTAATATAAATAACTTACCAAATTAATTTGAATAAATATTCATGAACATGGAAACAACATAAATAATAAATTACAACCCAAAGTGATTGGAAAATTATGGGCTCCGATTACAAAAAGTACTCTATTCATCATCACTTAACCAATTTGTGCTGCTAGGATGATCTTCTCTTGCGGTGCTAGAACCACCTTGGCTTGCTATTGTTTCTCTTGCACGCCTCCTTCGCACCACGTCCGCTTTCTCTGACTTCCAAAAAAATTTAGAATTTGGAGACTTCCCTTCTAAAGACATGTTCATAATCTCACGATCTTGTTGAGCTCGTCTTTCTTCTCTAACATGTTCCCTTTCTTGCCTAAGTAGCTCTCTTTCTCTCTCATTAGCATAAAATTCTCTCTCAACAGCTGCTGCTTTTGATGCCTTATCAGCCTTATCAGCCTCATCTTTCGCCAGTTCCCTCGCCAAAGTCAATTCACCTTGGCGAGTAAGTTCTTCCATGAACTTTGCATAATCGTTCTTGGAAGCACTCCCTTTTCTCTTTGTAGCCTTCTTACCTTGAGGCCTAATTGGAAAACGGGTCGAACCCGACGCTTGTTCAGGGAGGGGCGTTTCGGGCACTTCTTCTGCATCATCTTCATGAACATGATCGGGTGTAGAGTGTAGAGGGGTGCTGTTCATGTGCACTTCTGGACCAACTGGCACAACTCTAAATTTAGGACAATCTTTGACAATATTCCAACATTCCCACCGGTTGAATGATTTATTTTTGCCTTTGGTTTTGGCAGCATACCAAGCTTGTGCTTGAAGTTCCTACACAATAAAAATAAGTAACAAATAAATAATTATAATGAAAATAAGTAACTAGCAAATATATACATATATATATATATATATATATATATAAGTAACAAAGATAATGAAAATAAGTAACAAAGCAAATAAGAAGGCTTCAAGTTTAGTAAATAATGAAAATAATTAACAAATATATATATATATATACATTAATTTTAATGAAAATAAGTAACAAATAAATAATACAAACAACATAATTATAATGTAACAAATAAATGTAACAAA